AAAAAAAAAAAAATCATGACATGACCAAGTAATTAAAGGAAAGCAATACATAATGAAAGAAAATGCAATTTTTTTTAAATGAAGCATTAAAAAAATTGGAATATAATTAACAAACTAGGCAGTAAAGAAAAAAAAAAAGGTTGATGAAACGAAGACAGAATAAAAAGCTTGAGGGGAAAGAACAGTCTCAACGACCTGTGGCACAAAATCACAGGTTTGACAAATATAAATTGATCCTAAAATGAGGAGGGGGGCGGGGAGACTACTATTTGAAAAAAAAATTTTAAATGCAATGAAAATGATTTAAATTACCAAGAAATTCAATGAACCACAAGCAAGATGAATACAAAGAAAATCAAGCTAGGGTATATCAAACAGCTGATAATCAGTGATTAAGCATAATATCTTGAAAGTAAGTAAAGAAAATAGACAAATTATATACAGAAGAATAAAGATAACAATTTCTCAGACTTTTCACCAGAAACCACGCAAGCCAGAGTCTCAAATGTTAAGCGTGGTCAACCTAAAATTCTACAGCTATGAGGGAAAAAACTTTCAAAAATAAATGTGAACTAAAGACTATCCAGTTAATAAATTTGAGTGAGTCTGTTGTCAATAGACAACCACTGTTAAGATATAGAAAAGAAAGTCTTTCAAATGGAAGGGGAAAAGAAATCTGAATCTACAAAAGAAATGGACAAGAGTGGGGCAAAAATTATGTGGGTATACTAAAAACTTATGTTATCTTTACATTTTTCATGTTACCTTTGTAAGGGATCATGTAACAAAATGTATTATGCTTGGGACTCCCTGGTGGCCCAGGGGTTAAAGTCTCCATGCTATCAAATATTGCCAGCCATGGTGGCATGAATTCAATCCCTAGCCAGGGAGCTAACTCATATGGGGTAGTAGACTTCTCCTGTCTCATGTCCTGCTTGCCTCAGCAGTGTATTTCAGTAGATCTCTCTGTTCTGCTCTCACTCTGTCTTGGTTGAATCCTCTCATTTCCTGTACCTCTGATCTACATCCCAGTTCTTGTATGCATCATAAATAAAAAATAAATCTTAAAAAATGCATTATGCGGCCCTCCCTGGTGGCGCAGTGGGTTAAAGCACAGCACTGAGAATCTAAAGCCGCTTCCGCATGAGTTCGATTCCCGCCTGCCCCGGAGGTGAACACATGGCGTGTCACCTCTCCTGACCCGCCCGCTGCTCCCCTCAGCAGTGTACGTCGATTTGCCTGTTCTGCTCCCCACTCTGTCTCTGGTGAATCCTCTCACCGCCCCTGAGCCTCTGGCCTGTACCCACCCCAGTCTATATGCACAAATAAATCTTTAAAAATAAATAAATAAAATAAAAACATACAAAGGAGTACAGTTTTTCAAAATTATTTAGAGTATACACAAAAATATTTGGAAAGTCAGTGGACTAAGGCAGCATTGCTTTGTATCCTGCTTTCACTATTAATTATATTTATGTCAATATACACTCTTTTATTAAAGAGTTGAACTATATGTAAATAATAATAAAGACTCGCTCTCCCCTTTTAATTTAATGCCACATATCTGTAAGATGTTAGCACTGGCATTATGAAAACATTTATAGCTATGCCAAGATGTGCTCTGTGAACAACTGCTGCTGATTTTGATGGGGAGGTGAAGGGCACAAAACTTTATTTAAACTTTATTTAAACTCTACAGATCCACTCCTCTAGCTCTGCCTGATTAGTTATATGTTACATGTTAGCACATGTGTACACTGGGAATACAGATGTAAATGGAAATATTTTTGCTCTTTATAATAGCAAACTCAGACCTGCAAATATCTGTTAAATAGCAATTAACTACAGATATGACTGTAACATGTATGGGAACACAAAGATGGGATCAATAGAACTGTTTTTCAGGTACTAAAGAAGGAATGAATACTTCAGAAAGAGGGATTACCATGTGCCAAGACTATGTCAATAATCTGAAGACTACAGTTTTCAGAATGAAAACAAGGGATGCTTTCAGATTTAGTATTCAAGTTGGAGATGTCTAATCATCATCCAGAGTGAACTCTGTATGTACACAAGCTAGGAAGAGAGGGAAATTGATCTGGTGGATTATTTAATATTTTATTAACTACCTGCTATGTACCTGATAGTATAAAAGAAACTGGAAGAAGGAAAAATAAGCATGAAAAAGCTTACCAGCAAAGGAGGAAGAGACGGAAAAGGAAATCAACCACAGTATTGGCCTACAGTGATCATATGTTACAGAACAAAAACATGCACAAAGTATTACAGAACAAAAAGATGAGGAAACAAATCCACATTTTTTTCAATAATGTTAGAGATATCTTCAACAGTGAAAAGCAGTAAACTAGATTAAAAACTGGGAGAAGTACAGCGTCAAAGTAGCAATTCAGATAAAAAACATATTCCTCTCTAGGATACTTCTCTAAGAAACTTAGAAATGCCAGATCAGGGCCCTCCCTGGTAGCGCAACAGCACCATGAAGCTAACCACAGCCACTCCAACTCGAGTTTGGTCTGGCCATTGAGGTGATCCACAATGCTTAGCAGACCTCTCCTGTCTCACCCGCTGCTCCCCTCAGCAGTGTACTTTGTTGATCCGCCTGTTCAGGTGTCTCTTGCTGTCCCTGCACCTCTGGCCTGTACCCCAGTTCTGTATGCACATAATAAATAAACCTTAAAAAAGAAAAAAGAAATGCCAAATACCACAGGGATTGAGGTACAACTACCAAAATTATGATAACCACAGACAGGTTTCAATTATGAGTAAGATAATTATCGCATCCAGCAGAATGAAAGATACACTACAAGTAGGTAATAATATGGCAAGACTGAAGAGAACTTTAGACTTAATTCAGGGGTGATGTAATTCAGAATGTATAGAAAACAAAAGTACAGGACATGCAGAAACATGGAAAGAGAAGACAGGAGGAGGTGGGTATGGGGGGGGTTTAAAGGTATTACACATTAGATTTTTTATGCACGTTAACCAAATTTTAAAAGAGAGAGAGGTTGTTTAAGGCAATAGCAGTGATGAAAAAAATAAGAAACAGAATAAAGCTAAGCAAGTTTAGTTATAGTGACTTAGAACTAAATGAATTTAGTGACCACTTAGAAGAAGGGGACAAAAGCTGGAATCCATATCATATATCCAATTATCAAGGCAGGACTTCTGTGACAACTGTCTTGTATAAGGAAAAACAAAATTTGGATATGCTGAATCCGAACTTCCTGAATGACATTCAACATGGAGATATCTAGTGGGATTTTAATCATGTAGGCGAAAAACCTGGAAACAAATTCTTTATTGAAAAGTAAAGTAACTTTCAAGTAACACTGCAAAAGGAGTCTCTTATTTCCCCATGAATACAATATTAAAATATGGAATTAGCCTGCACTTGTTGAAAATACAGTCATGGGAATAAAAAGGTTACTGTAATTACACTGACAATGAAATTATGTTGAGCAACTATTGGTCTCAAAGCACTAAGGAAGGCTACACTTTCAGTAAGCACAAATACACACTGATTACAAAGATGTGTAAGAAAAATAAATATAAATGCACTCAAAATAGTCTGTGTTATTCTTTAAAGAGGCGTAAGTACCTGAGGTTTCTTCCTACAGAAATACCTGAATATAAAGTGGTACCACCTTTATATTACCACCAGTCTCTTACATTAATAATCATAATGTGAAATCTGGTCATTTGAAATAGGAATTATATTAACATGACAAAAACTTTTTGATAACATGCTTCATAAAATCTGTGGGATTTTTTTACCTACTTTTTTATAAGTAGTAGCTATAGCTAAAGTAAGATAATTTCTTTGTGTGAGTACTCAAAGATTATTAAAAGTTTAAAAAGATAGTTTTCAAATAATGGTTAATATCACTGCCTGGACTACACAGAAATCACTTTTAATCTTACTCAGAAAGCAATATAATACCAGCTGGGTATCATCATTCCTTTCACAATACAGAAAGTATATAATTATCAGGTGAGCAAAAAAAAAAAATTATTTATTATTTACAGAAGATGAACCTGACTTAGAAAACAAAAGTGAAGAAATGAGCAATATAGAGTGAAGTGTACATTTATTCAACAAATTACTAGGTACCTTCTAGATGGAAAGCACCATGCCAGATGTAGTAGGAGAAACAAGAGTTAAAACATTCAGTTCCCATCACTGTTTACAAACATAAGGCCAATGCACTGAGGATTTGAAAACAACATGAGAGGTTATAAAGCAACATTATGTTTAACTGTCAAATTAGTAATCTGAACAATGATATCTGAGGGCAAATTAAGTCCAACTCTTTTCAAGGCACTTGTAGTTTTCAGGCCTTGTAGTTTTTAACCACATGGAATCAATCCGATTCTTAAAATTATTGTAACAAAAAATAGCGGTGTGGTGACAGCACCTCATGGTGGTCCCTTCAGGTGGAGAAGAAAAAGAAAGGAACTGTGTAGGAAACTAGACTAAATGAAATGCAAGACTGATTCTTTGGCCTATAGTTCTTCCTTGATTTAAGAAATTATAAAACCTGTACTATGTATCATTTCCCCCAGTGAAATCCCTATCACCAGTTCACCTGCGGATCATCACCATAGTCCCTTGTGATCTTCCTACTCAATCATACATTGTACAAAAATGAAGAATGATATAATAAATATATTTTTTAAAAAATAAAATTTAAAAAAACAAAAAGAAATCATAAAACCTGAAACAGTTTGTAAAACATGTGAAAACTGAAACTCATAATAAAGTACTGACGTGTTGTATAAGACAATGTTTTCAAGCTGGTAAATAGCTAAGTAATTTATAACATCTAAATGACCCTTTATGGGTTTACATATTCTCAAACCTCTAGAATCAGAGTTTATAAAGGTGTGGGGGGTGAGGGAGAGATTTGTATTTTGAGCAAGGTCCTCAGATGATTCTGATACATAATGCGAGAACGATGTGTTGTATGATTGTAAAGTTGGTACACAAACTTTAGTGGTCAGGAAACCTGAGTTCAAATGCCAGTTCTAATGCTTACTAGTTCCAGGGCCCCCAACTTACTCCCTAACCTTATTTAAAAAGAAGGAAATGCCACCCATACCTCAAGTGGCCCTGAGAATGCTGATGCAAATAAAACACTTAATATAATTCCTGGCATATTTAGTGTGCACTCAATGAATTCATTCATTTACCAACAGTTATTACGCTATTACTAAGCATCAGGAGATAAGGAAGACCTCATTAATTTATTAGTGCTAATCTGCAATGATGTCATTAGAACACAAAATTAGGGGAATCTATCTTAATCAGGAGAGTCTCCCCTGAAGTGAACTGAATGATAACAACATTGGATAGGAAGGAGGGAGAAATGCATTTCCAGGCAGAGGAAGCATCATAACAAAAGTTAAGTACCTGAAGCAGAACAGAGAGAAGCACACAATGACTGCCTAGGGGTGAAAAGAACAATAGGAAGTAATATGGAAATGGGGTTGGAAAGTCAGAGGGCCCCAAACAGCTATTAAAGACCTTAGTTTTTCTTAAAAACAATAAAACTCACTGAAGGATGTAAACATGAAGATGATGTGAAATGATCTGCATTTAGAAAATCAATCACAGTTTCTTGGCCTTTTGGCTAAGATGAAGGGTAGAAAAGCAGTCAGGTGTGGAACGTTACAGAGCAGGCCACAGTAAACATAGGCAGACTGCAATCAAGAAGCTAGTGAAGGGGTCCAGATGAAAAATGGAGATGGCTGAAACTAGAGTTACTGGTGGTGAAGATTAAGGCTAGACTCAAGAAATATTCAATAGGTCAAATCAACAGGATCTATCTATTAATAGACAGATACGAAGCACTGAGAGCCAAGACGCTTTCAAATTTCTACATCCATAGAAAGAGATGGGTGATCAGACAGTAGTCACTTGAGTTAAAGAGGCCCTATTTTCCCTTTTTTGGTGGTGGTGGGGGGGAGGAGTTGGGCAGATCATGAATTTCAAACATGTGTGAGTGAATATTTATTCTCAATTGTAGAATTGATTTGTTACAGAACTTTTCTATTGTATGGAAGTGCAATGTGCCTTTATTTATTGGCCTGTACTTTGAGTGTTTATGGACCTTAAAAAAAAAAAAAAACAGATTTTCACAAGGTTTCTAAGTGGTAAAGTGAGCTGTAGATGGAAAGTAGATCCCTACTTTCCATTAAGTTTCTCCCTTTTCATAATGTCCGAAAGGATCTTTTATGACTACAGCTTAACGTGATCTCAAAATTTTCATTTACTCATTCATTTCTAAACTTTTAAAAGCATTCGTGCTAAAAAAAATAAGACACGAAGTCAAACTAAAAAATGCAGCGAAGTCCAAAAGGAAGCTACAAGCACCTGACTTTTAAGTCATTACCAGGAACATGACTGAGTTATACACAGTGCCAGGCTGTCTTGGAGCATTTTAGTTAAATTCTATTTTACAGAACGGAGAGACAGGCTCTTTAGAAAATTTCCTACTCATAGGCAAAAAGTCATCAGACAGATAATTCCTGAATTGATCTACAAAAAAAGCAGTCTGCAACTTACAATTTTAAGTCACTACCTACATAGTGCCTTTTAACTCGCTCGAGTCTAGAATCTCATTAAGGGGTAGACTTGACAAAATCGGTCTTGTTAATTACTGATTATGAGTTTGTATTCAGTCAGATCCCAAGAAGTTTTTGCAGCGTTATGGGTCTAAACCTCTACCCTTGCTCTCCCGCTTGAACAAATAAGAATGCAGGAGCCACCCAAGGGTTTCCAGTCTTAACAAAACACCTGCCCCACCCACCTCACACACAATAATCTTCCATTCCAGAACTAGAGCTGTCAGAGAAGGACCGACAGCAGTAGGGCCAGGGCCCGTAACCAGGTTATCGGAGGCGGACTCGGAACTTAAGGGAGCTGTCTCACCCGTCCCGAAGCAGTGTCTAATTTCCCAAAAGGGAACCAAGATCTCCCCCATGGAAACCCGAGCTGCCAACCCAGAGTGGGGGGACTCTCCCCCAGACGGCTACAGCCCAGACCTGTCGCCTCAAGGCCTCCTCGGGGGACTCGGGCCTCTCGGAAACGGTCCCGGAGCTCGCCTCTCCCCTAGCCCGCCGCTCCCCCCAAGACCGACTCCGCGCAGGTGCCCATCGCCCAGCCCGCCGGTGCACAGCCTGCAAGTCGGTCACTAAGCAACAGTCGCCAGCCCCGGTAGCCCCAGTAGCCCTGGGAGGCCTACTCAGGGCGCGGGTCCCTCCCCATTCCCTCCTCGCTGGCCTGGGGTGCTCAGGCTGGGGAACGAGCCGGGAGGGAGGTCGCCAGGAGCCCGCCAGCGGTCACTCACCTCTTCCCCTCGCTTCCTGGGAGGGGCGGTGCAGGGGCGTTTCCCCCGCCCCCCAAACACCTCGCGGCTGCTTCCGATCGGCCTCGGCTCCCGGCCGCGGCCGCCACCTCACTCCATAGTCTCCTCCACTCGCGCGGCCTCTAAGGCTAGAGCAGGAGGAGGGAAAGGGGAGGGGCGGGGAGGGACTGGGGAGGAAGAGTAAAGGAGGGGGAAGAGGACCGAAAGACCGGCCGACCCTGACATGACGTCACTTCCGGCTGGCTCGGAAGGGGTGGGACCATAACTTCCTTGGTCCCCGCCCCCGGCGGCCAGGTGGGGGCGGAGTTATGGGGCGGGGCGGAGTTAGGGGCCAGGGGCGGGGCCAGGGCGCAAGCTTATGGCGGTTCTTTTAACCCAGCGATTCAGGCTTCTGGACAGCCAGAGCGAGCTTCCAGGCCCTGGGTGCTGCGGGACCAATTTCTTGAGTCCTGAAGGCAGCTTCAGCCGGAAGAGGAAGGCAGGTAATTGCGGCTTCTCACCAAACGAGCCCTGAAGGGGAGTCCTGCTGAGGGGAGCAGGTTCCGCGGCCCGCCGGGTTCTTAGCGCCCGCGCCTGTTCTGCTGCCTCCGTCGTGGCCCCGGACGCCGGGGCTGCGACTTGACGGTTTGGGAGCTGTCCTCCTGGAGACCAGGAAAGCAGCGCTCCTCAAACCTTAATTTGCGAAGAAATCATTTGGGGACCTGTTAAACTGCGGGTTCGGGTGGAGGAGGAGGGTCTGCTACTCCGCGTTTTAAATAGGTTCGCAGGAGACTACAGTGTTGCTGGTTGGCAAGTTACGTTTAGAGGGACAAGGGCTTCGAGTGCAGACGGCGAGTTCCTGGAGCGCGAGGACTGTTTCTTTCACCTAGTCTGTCAGGTCCACGGAACATAACCTTGTCTGCGCCGCTCCCAGCCTCCCGGACGTCCTCACCCCACCCCACCCCTGCCGGGATCCCACCCGCGCAACTACACACCCCATCCCCGCCCCTTTCTTCTCTCTTTCACCTCATCCGTGTTTTTGCACTGCCCCATAGAGTCTGTGGCTAATATTTCGAGAGTAATTGACAACTTCTGTTACAAAAGTATTTGACGACGTCAGTCTTTCATTTCTCTCATTTTGTCGTGACTGTCAGAATGTTTCCAGTTATCCATAGTCAAAGGAAAAAGCTTAAATTCTTGGTCTCTAACATCAACAACAATAAGCTGGTAACACCATTCTACGCGTTTCCATTTATTCTCTTTTCCTTAATATATATCTATTTTTTTTAATTAAGGGCATTCCTGCTGGCACTGGGGTAAAGTCTCAGCACTATCAACTTATCACCAGCCACTGCAGCACTAGTTCAATCCCTAGCCCAGGAGCTAACCCACAGGGCACAGCAAAACTCTCCTCTCTGGCTGCTGCCCCCACCCCCAGTATTTTTCAGATCTGCTGGTTGTGTTCCTCCCCCCTTCCCCCCCACCCCCGTGTCTCTAGTGAATCCTTTCTCTCTCACACACATCCCACACCTCAGCCCACCGTAGGTCTGGCCTAGACCCCCGTTCTTGTGTTCATAACTAAAAATAAATCTGAAAAAATTTGTTAATTAAAACTTTATGTGGATAGGGGAAAATGAGAAGTGATTGCCAGTTCTTTGATTTTTTTTGGAGTAATGAATGGTACAGAAGTAGATAATAGTGAATGTACTAAAAAAACACTAAGTTGTACTATTTAGAAGAATGAACTTTGTATTATGTGAATTATCAATAAAAAATGCTGTCCCAATTAATTTAAAAAATTATATGTGCACATTATAAAAATTCAAAAATATATTAAGCAACCATCTTGCTTCATTACAACCCTGCTTCCCAAAGATTAATAGTTTGAATTTTTTCTCCCAGATCTGCATTCTGTTTATTTAAATATATGTAAGTTGGGATATCACTTTACATAGCAATATGATACAAATAATTCTGCTCAGCATGCTGGTTTTCATTTTTAAATTATTTTGTTTTTCCTACTTAGTGAAATCCTTCCTTCCATGCTTCCTAACGGCTACTCAGTGTTGTATAGTAAGCCATTGCCAGAATTTATTTACGTGTTTCCCAGGTGATGGGCATTCTGATTATTTTCAGGTTTTCATTCATCACAAACTTTATTTTTTAGCAAGAACAGCCGACAGAAAATGGATTTTATTCAAACCCTTGTCCTAAATCTCTCATGAAGAGTTTGCCATTGGTCAGTTATACAAAGAGAAAAGAAAAAAAAACCTGGTAAAGCCATAGTTCTGTGATATCAAAACTCAAATATACATATGGTATATTCCTTTTAAATATGTTCTGAAACATATGTAAGAACAAGTATAGCAACTAGTTTATCATGTAATGTTAAGGATTCATAAATTCACATAAAAATGCACTTGATATAGGTAAAGTAAGTTCCTAGACAAACATGGTGTAATCTAAGCAAATATATCAAGATTTGGGTAAGATGGGAAGTGAAGATATTAGCACCAGATGTGCCATAAAAAGTATAAACTTCTCAAAACTAAAAAATGTCTATTTTCATGTAGTCTAAACTTATAGGAACATATGTTTACTTTTCTTTTTCAGGATGTTCTGGTCCTTTTCAAGCTACCCAACTCTGGGGAGGTATTATTCACGCTCTGCAGACTCAAGTAGAAATCAAAAGAAGGCGGCATCACTTACGGACATACAAAGACTGTTTTACTGGTTCTGATGCTGTTGATGTGGTGTTAAGTCATCTTATGCAAAATATGTGCCTAAGGAGCAATGATATCTCTCGTCTTAAAGGAGTACGTCTTTGCCAGTTTCTAATGAACCATAAAGTATTTGAACCAATAGGAATGAAGTTGTTCAAAAATGAAAGGAAGTTGGAATTTGTAGATTCAAATAATAGTCTCTATAGGTTTCTAGGCAATAAATCACCTCCTATTTTTTGCAAAAGAAAAAAGGATGCTGAAAATGGGCTTATCAAAGAACTAAAACCAAAGGAAACTTTAAGGTTAGTGTTAACCAATTACACAATTTACTATTTTAGAGCCTGGCAGAATAGTCTTCAGTGAGCTAAATTTGAATGTTATTCATTCTGTGTTGTTATATTTTTTCCCCAGCAGTCTATACAAGCAATAACCAGGCAAAAATTAATCTATTTCTACATTTGTTTTAACACTGGGGAAAAAATTCTCATGTAAATTTGTCTGAATTTATACTGGAAATATTTCCTATGATGAATTATATGCTTCCTAATTTTGAAAAGTGACTTAGTCCAAGTAAAGTTAAGTTTTTCCGGAACTCAAAATAAACATTTTCTACCCATCCTAGCAACAATATTAAGCTTAGAATTAGCATATATTCTTTTTCTTTCCATATTTATAAACCTGGTTTGACCTCTTTATCACTGTGTCTTTTATTGTAAACTGCTTGAAATCTTTTTTGGAAATGGAAACTATGTAAGTTGTAATATGTCAATTAGATGTGCATTTGAAATTTTGGTCATATATATAATGAAAAAGTTTACATATTCTTTCTTAATAGACCAAAAGATGAAATGATTTCAAATCCTATAGCAGAAGAGGTTGCTGAGAAAGGAACTGAAGAATTTATTCATAGGAGTGGGAATTTGACTTTTCCTCCAAATGCCATAGTTGACAAACCTGTTCTTTCACTTTCAAAACAAGGTAATTTAAGTTTTTGCTATATTTTCCAGAACTTTGTGAAAGAATTGGCTTTTTTTGAAAATAGACTTATTTAGGAAAATTTTAAGTTCACAGAAAAGTTGAGCAGAAAATAGAGAGTTCCCGGTGGACCTTCTGAACCCACCTTGTTTCAGCTTTCTCCCCTATTAACACCCTATAGCAGGAGGATGCATTTGTTTCAGTCCATGAACCCGCTGACTGGTCCTGATCATCCACAGCCATAGACTGTGATGGGATTCATTCTTGGGAGTTGTGCCAAATGTTACAATGACATGTATCCACCTTTATAGTAGCCCACAGAATAATTTCACTGCCCAAAAGCTCATGCTTCACCTGTGAATCATCTACTTGTGATTTTCTCCCTATAATGTCATTAATAGTGAAAAGAAGTACCCCATACCGGGGCAATTAAGACAGACACATACACTATTCATAAAGGCTGACACCCTGCTACTGTATTTGCTCAAACTATAACAAAAACAAGACAAACATGATTTTAATGTGATAAGGAAGCTTGAAGGTGACCAAAGTAAGGGTGTAGAGTGAAAAGAAGAGGGACTAGAAGAGAACCCTGAGAATTCAAAATACCACAAATCATGACTGTGGGTCAAGTTGACACATAGGACCCTCCCTGGCTTGGAAACATAGTGAGAGATTTATATAACTGTTGTATTTGTGATTTTGTTTCATACAAAAGAAAAACAAAACATGAATTGTGATCTGATGATGAAGGTAATGAAAAATTTAACTCTTGACAGGAATGACCAGAAACTTAGTTAAGATTAGCCTAGCCTATATTTTAATTTAAGAAACATAAAATACAATTATGTGTCACTTTGAATAAAATGATAATTTGTAATCTAATATTCTTTCAGAAGTACAAAATAATTTATAAGTATAACTAGCTGCTTTTTACATTGGAATTAGCCTATTGTTGACCTTAAAAGATGGATAACAACAATTTATAATCAACATAATCAGAAAATAAGATTAATATGACTCATGACCCTGATGTCTATTTAAAGGTCATTCTTGAAGATAATAAGTGAATTTGGTGAATTTCAATTACCCTGCTATTAAGTAGCTTTTCTTCTGTATTATTTGGAATTGGAGACATTTGTGATATTGGTTATATTTGTGTATGTTACTTATCAATCTGATAGTTACATTATTTTTCTTTCTAAGCTGTAGGAGATGTTTGGAGACAACAAACATTGTTACGTATTTTTCAACTGATTGACCTTCCATTCTTGGAAAATATTTTGGAGCCACCAGTTAAAACACAAAATCTTCATTTAAGTAAAGAGGAAGATCTCATTATATCAAACACTTGTCTAGACAGAGAAGTTATTCCAAACTTATGTATACTTGAGTAAGTGAACATTTTTGTTGTTTAATAATTTGTAACTTTAAAAAGTTGTGTAACATATTTTGTCTTTGATATTTAAAGGTGAGAACATATCCATCTATATAAATTGACACTTTGTTTTATAAATTAACCCCTATAATTCCCATTTGGTCTAACAAGTATCTCATTATGACCTGTAAGATCATTGAAAATCAGGGTGTTTTCATTCCTATGATTTTAGACATGATTTGGTAGGCACCTCTCTGCACTAGCCCTGAATATTTTCCATGTTCTATCATTTCTGTGTTATGACCCTAAGTTAATATAACTATTACAGTTTCTGCCAGTATAACCCTGCCCTAAAAAGAGTTCACAATCTAGTAGTGGATGCATTTATGAAACAAAAAAAATTGCAATCCACTAAAATAAGCTCTACCATGAAATCAGTCTCATTTATAGAGAAGAGGTTCAGGGAACCCTATAAATTGAATGAGTTTCCCTCTCTTTTATTTCCAAGATATTTGTCACTCATGAATAAAACAGGTGCCTGGGAATTGTAGTTATAAGATTTTGACTGCTGTTAGAATTCCAACAAAGAAGGCTGATATACTTTCTTCTACATGCACCAAATGGGAAAAGAACATCAGACAATAAGCTTCAGATCTTGGAATGAGCTTGGTGATCTGAGATCTGTGGACCCATGAGTAACCAAGGTCTTGTTTGCACATGACACGTTTTTCTAATTCAGTAGGCCAAGAAAAATCTCAAGGATTGAGTCTTCTTTGGCCCTTGAATCAAGGAGATTATATTGATAGCAGAATAGAAACAGTGTCTCTTTACATGCTTTTTCAGGAACTCGCAGCTCTGCTGCTTTTATGAGCTTTCAGGAGGAAAAGTAAATTATCTGTAAGAAAGAAAGCAATCCAACTGCCATTAATCATTTCATCTGCAACTTCTAGAAACTAATAAACTTCTAGAAGCTAATAAATCTCACATGTTAGGTGAGATATACTCTTCACCTGTCAGAAGGAAAAAATGAAGGAAAGACTTTAAGTTCATCAAGAACTTGTAGAGTGCATCTCACTCAGGAACCCTATTTGTAGAAAATATTTGAGGTAAGGTTTTAATCAGACTAAAAAAAATAACCAAAGCCCAAAAATGGAAGTTGATGAAGGGAAGAGGAAGCATTGGTGGGTAATGATCTTTATACTTTTTGCTCTCTCACTGTTTCCTCTTCTTATTAAGATTTTTCAGGGATGTATAAAGTTAAAATGTAAAATGAGAAGTCAAAACAAAAGGGACAGCTATTAAGGGAAATTATAAGTACTAACCTATATCAGCAAAATCTGGAGGCCTGGAAGATGGCTGATGTGGAAAGGGAAAAATAAAGCCATAGTCCAAAGCAGTCATTGAAGAAGGGGGTTTCGAGGGAAAGGATCCTAAATTCTTGGGGGTGGAGACTCAAGAAAGGGGTAACTATGGTGGGATAAATTGTGTATTTTGGTTTGAGAAATATTTGGGGTCTTATCTTCACATAATAACAGAGCACAAGCTTCTAATTACTGGAGAGTGAAATGTGGGGGGACCTCTTAATGGAGTGAAGAAATACGGATGAGCTCCTCTGAACAAAACTAGAAATAGCAAGTTAATTTCAAGAAGGTTTTGATTCCTCAAAATTGAAGTTATTAGGAGATTACAACTGAGATGGAAAAATGCACAAAATGATACAAAAATAAAGTATTATTCAAAAAAAATTGAAGGTATTAGAAGTATGCTGGTATTTGGTTAAAGCACCACATTATGAAGCCACTGCAGCACAAGTTCAATCCCCGGCCAGGGACCTGACCCACATGGTGTGGCAGACCTCTCCTGACCTGCCTACTGCTCCCCTCAGCATTGTATTTTGTCTACCTCCCTGTTCTGCTCCTCACTTTGTCTCTGGTGAATCCTCTCACCCACCACACCTCTGGCCTGTACCCCAGTTCTGTAAGCATAAATAAATCTTTAAAAAAAATTAATTGAAATGATTCTCTTACAAATAGTTTATTATTCATATTTGTTTAAATACAAGATAAATCTTATGTTTTATCAAGCAGTTTGTAGGTAGTGAAATGGAATAACCATCGATTTTTTTTTTTCCAGGATTGATAACTGGCTTGATGCAGCAATTGAATGCTTGGAATATTTCCCTGACCAATTAATAGTTATAGTTAGTCAGCAGTTAGTGCAGAACAGAAACGAAGAGTCAAGATTGAATATACAGAAGAAGATCTTCTTTGATGTCATAGTAAAATATTATACTCAAGAAAGAGATTGCCTGTTAACTGATGAGTATTTTGATATTCTGTCAGGAATTATTGAACTTCTAGGTAAGAGATGTTTAAACTTTCACTTTTGTATAAAAAAGTATTTTAAAGATACAATATAGAGTAGAACATTTTATGTATTATACAAGTATTACCTTTTGATGTTTTTCATCTGTGTGCTTTTTTTTTCCCTTATGATATTGCTGGTATGTAACTCTTAACTTTATATATAACTAACGTATTAGGCCACTAGCTCTAAAGTACAATATGTCACAAAATATTTTAAGAAACATTTTGATTTAGGGAAATGAGATATCAGGAAATAACTTTTGATGTATTAATTTGGTGACTTTAGCAAAATGAAAATTGACTCATAGTAACATGTCACTTTATTAGCTATGTAGTGGCCACAGCCATCTAATTCAATGTTAAACACTGATAGTGCTAGATGTACTTACATAGGTTTATGGGATAATGTAATTTCCTGTGTATTTGGAGTATTTTATAATAAGAGTGTTTAAGAGTAAAAATAGCCTTCAAACCAAATATAGCATTTTAATTGACTGTATTCTCCACTTTTGAGTTTGGTATTCTACATTTCTTTGCCCTATGTTTGTCTTTGCTTCCATATAATAGAAAATGATAAGAGAGCTGAAGCACTTGAGGCAACGCAACTATATTTGAGACTGCTGCTGCCTAATATTAGAGAAGAATTACGACGACTACTCACTTTCATGGCTATTGCATCAGAACCTAATGCCTACAAGTTACAAAAGCAGGTGAAAAAAAAATTATAGTAACAGTTTTACAGTTTTCTGCTTCTTTTTTTTTAAAAACTATTTAAGATGTTATCTTTCTGTTGACAGTGTGATAACAAAACTGTGGTCCTGAAAACTCTTGCCAAAGCAGTTTTGCAAACCAAATCATTATTAAAAGTACAGGCGGAACAACTAGTCTGGTTTCTACTGGAGTTTCACACAGAGCTCTTCAAGGTATCTTTGGCATTTTGCCTGGATTCATTTATTACTAAACTATTTATGTCAAACAAAAAGGCAAATCATTCACTTACTAAATAATTTACTGAGTATAATGTGCAAAGTTTAAGGCACACTAAGGGGTAGGAAAACTTTAAGCAGTGTCAATATTTACAAATATATCAATTAATTTTGTCAGCCCATATCTGGTGCACTATTATATGCCAAGCACTGTTTTATGTGTTTAAAAAACATCAGCAAACAAAACAAAGATTTAGACCCTTAAGGAGCTTATTTCCAAGTGGGGGACAATATAAAATTTTCAAAAACCTCACAGAGTAAATCATCAATCATTTGGTTTGGTGGAAGGCAGTAAATGCAATAGAGGAAATCAAAAGGGCAGGTTAAGGGGATTTATGAGTACTAAGGTGGGGTGAGCCTCTGTGTACTGTATTAAATAGACTGACAAGGTTGGCCTCACAGTGAAAGTGAGTTTTGAGCAAAGATTGGAAAAGGGGCAAAGCTGACCAAATGACTGTGAGGGTGGAGGTAGTGGTTTTGGGTAGAAAGCAGAGGCCCTGGGGGTGATGCATGCCTAGATTTGCAGAACAGGTAATCAGAGGGGAAAGTAGCATGAGATGAGATTAGAGAGGTGTATGTTATTGGAGGAACTTCTGTTCTTTCTCAACCTGTCGCCTCTGTGTAAAAGAATTCACCTCTTTCCTACATATGACCCAAATGTTGGAAAGAATGTTTTCATTTTTCTCTCTACTTTGGAATTAGTAGCATAAAGAAAAATAGTGGTTGAACTATTGTAATGGGCCATATAGGGAGAATAGAACTTGATATGGGTTGGAGAAAATGGGGTTGTGGGATTTAGGAAGCATGGGGAAGGGGCTCTGATGACTGTTTTCTTGAGATTATGGGATGAGTTTATGGAGCCAGGGGAGGGAGGGTTGTGATAAGGAATCCTGAATATGCTAGGCTTTTTCCTGAGACAGGGCTTTATCTATCCAGTCTACTGTTGGTTTGGAACACTTTTCTCCCAAAGATTATGGCTCCTACACATCTGTTCAGTTCTCTACTTAAAATGTTGCCCTCTCAGAAACACAGAAACCTTCCTTACCATCTGAGATAGTTGCCCATCTTCACTCTAGGCTCTTCTTACTCTTTTTTTTTTAAGTTTTATTGATGGCATTTATCACAACCTGAAATTCGATTATATATTTGGTAATTTTTTTTAGCATTAACTGACTCCCAAGAATGTAAGTTCGGTAGGTTCAAAAACTTGATCTACTTATTTATCACCTAGAACAGAGCCAGGAACATAACACTCACTCAACTTTTATTGAATGGCAAAGTGATTAGTAGGGACAGCTTCATAACTGCAAACTGGAAGGACAAGTAGGAATAATGGAAAGGTAGCCTGGATTCCGGGGTGAAGGCACCACTGGGTGTGAGGTTGAGCATTGACCACCCAGAGAATGCCCTCCGTAACACTACCAGCTGAGAGGTTATCCCCTGTAGGTAATGTGGATAATGTGTTGTAGTCTGGTATTACCTTTATTTTAACCAAATTTGGAAAAAGAATATTCACCTATTTTAAGAAAAGGACATTTTAATGTATGAGCTACTAATATTAAAGCTATTTACATATGGATCATGTAGTTATAGTATAAGGTAAGTTAGAGGATCATGTAATTACAGTGTAAGATAATTTAGACTGGTGCTATTGGGGAAGTTACAAATTGATTATTTTAGGAGCACATCTCAATGTTTGCTTGATCTAGCTTCAGGTTACAGTACTGTACCCATTCAGTCTGCTGTTTGTCTGGAATGTTTTATGTTTATGTACCCACATGAACGTAGAAAAATATAATTTTAAAAACTAAAAAACATTAAAAGTTTTCATACTCTTAATGATTAGAGGACTTCACCTTTACTCCCCTCCCCTTTTCCTCCCAACACACATTCCTCTCCCCCACTCATTGGTCAAAATATCGAGGTTTTTTTTCCCCTATATTGGAGTCCTGGTTAGAAATTGTATTAAATATTTGAAATATCTGTTTTTATTTAGACACCGGTTATTTTATTAGATCTAGTTACTAAGAAACTTAAGAGGATTCTCCATGGAGAAGATCCAGATGCCATGTCAGGTATTGATTCAAATTTGTTCCTACTTTATCATTAAGTGACTTTTATAGCCAAGATGGGAAGGAACCAAGGTTAGGCCTGTAATAAATATTTAATGTCATAAAAGAGGTTACACTGTTACTACTCTGCAATGAAAATATGAGTGTAAGTAGTAGTTATCTAGCATATTCAAAAAGAAATATGTTCAGCTTAAAGCCAGTTTGGATAAGTACATATGTCATTTTTCAAACTTGTTTATCCAATTGTATTTTTCTTCTAAAGGGTTCACATTTTGCCAACGCTTGACATGTAAGGAGTTCGAAAAACAAAAGAAAAAGAAAATTCATTATCTTCAACAGTTGGTTCATGAGATTAATAGTAATCCCAGCATCTCTCTGAAACAAAAAAAGAAATTAATTAAGGAATTTCAAAAACACCATCCGCAATCTTGCATTAACATTTCTGCTGCAAAAAACTACAATTTGTAAAGATTAGCAGCTTTCTGGTAGCTTCTTCAAAATAGTATTGACACTTCAGGGACAGAATAGCCTGTGAGCATTGTAAGTATAAGCATACTTAAAATATTTAAGGATGTTTTTAATTTTAAAAGGAATGCAGGTGATTCTTCATGTTTGCAGATTCACTTAATTATCACGCTGCTAAAATCACTGTGTGGTGCTATATTGGAGATCTGATAATTTTCTTAAGACATTTCTCCCCACAGAAAAGGAGTATTTCATGCACTAGTTCTCTAAAGAAAACATGCACACACTTTAATACAGTTGACCCTTGAATAGCACAAAGACTAAAGGTGTTGACCGCCCCCCATGCAATAGAGTTCACATATAACTTCTGACTCTCCCAAACTTAATAGCTTGCTATTGACTGCAAGCCTCATTAATAATATAGTCAATAAGCACATATTTTTATACTATATGTATTATGTACTGTATCTTAAAGGAAGCTAGAGAAAAGAAAATGTTTCTGAGAAAATCATAAGAAAGGGAAAATACATTTACAGAACTGTCCATATTTATTGATACCCTAAGTTTACATCTTCCCTTTACAAGATGAATTATCTGTCTGTCGGTATCAACATCAATAGTTTTATATGTACAAAATTCTATATTAGATACTACACATATCATTAACACTAGACATCAAAAGTGAAAAGATGAAAAATTCCTATTAATTTATAGGTATAATGATAGCAAGTATTGGTAATAAAGAAAAATCAATGATTGCAGTGATTTTTAAATTAATTGAGGAAAAAATTTATGTATAAGTGGGCCCTACAGTCCAGACTCCTTTTGTTGAAGGGTTAAGTGTATAATATTTTTAAGTTACCCTCTTGGGGTACTGTGACTTAAACACTATGAATCATCTAGGTCAACACAAAATGGAAATTTTTAAAAGTCACAAATTTTAAATTCATAAATATCTAAAGCTATGATTTTATTTTCTCAATTATTTGTTATATAGTATTTTATGATTTTCTACCTTTTCTCTGTTTTTAAGGTGTTTGGTTCACATTGTGACATTCTCCTAATTTGGCATAGGTTATAGTCATTCCCTCTTGGCAGTCACAGAAAAAGTCTTTTATGGTCTTATGCTTTCATCACAGGGAAAAAGAAACTCAGAACATAAGTACTTGAACAAAAAAAGTATTGAGTCTATAAACATACTGTAAAATGTTCTTGGAATCACTCCCCTACCAAAGAGAGCATGACTTAAAGTCTGTGAAACAGTTATGCTGCCTGTGAGAAAGCCAGCCTTTTCAGCATCTACTAAGGACCAACCAGCTCGATAAAGATTTAGACTATGGGCACTGAGCTTTTCCATTTCCACCATGCATTCTTTAGACAGAAAGAGATTAAATCCCAGCATTATCTCCCTCCACACATAGATAGCACTAACATACCTTTAAGTAACTTAGAGTCAGATCTCTTGTAAAGAATGATTATGTCTCAGCGGCTGCCCTGCCTGCCTGTGACCATGTAAATGTCCCTCTTCAGCAACCTCCCTTTGCAAAGCAGCAGAGGCAGCACTGTGACCATGGAGGCCTGTCTTGAACCCTGTCCCTTTCAGGGGTAGCTCTTTCTGCCAATTTCTGTCTGTGCAAATCTCCTTGGCTTCCCTTTTTGTAATAAACCTGCTCTTTTGAATATATAGATAAAAAATGTCTTTAATGTCAATGATTCAATGTTCCTGTCTATGTAAACTAAATTTATGATCCTTGGAACTGTTCTCAGAGAGTAAAATCTACTGAATTGCTTTTGGGGTTTGAATCCTCACTTTGATCTTCTAATTAACTATTATTGATATTAACTATTATTTATTCAACTAGCTGAATTAATGTCATCAGTTTCTTACTGTTGGAAAACTGTATCACTTGTCTTAATTGTCTTGAGTTTGAATGCTTAAAGATAAAGTTCTCAACTTTTCAGAGGGTCAAAATTAGTGAATTTTCTGAAATTGTGTGGTTTTTTGTGTATGTGTGCTTATGACACTCTTCTAGGGAGAGGATCCAAAGCTTTCACTAGATAAATGCATATATATTTTTTTTCTTCCCTTAAGTTTTGCTTTTTGGGGACAAACTTTTAGTCTGATCATGCAGATGTTAAAATAAGCACATTCAGGGCCTTCCTCGTGACTCAGGGGTTAAAGTTTCAGTGCTATCAAGCTATCATCAGCCACTGCCACAAAAGTTTGATCCCTGGCCTGGGAGGGATCCGAAGACCTCTTCTGTTTCCCCCACTGCTCCCCTTAGCAGTGAATCCCAGTAGATCTGCCTGTTTTGCTCCCCAGTCTGTTTCTGGTGAGTGGTCAGCCCCTGCACTTCTGGCTTACACAACCCTGTTCTTGTATGCATAAATAAAAATAAATATTAAAAAATTTTAAAGTAAATTCATTAAGCTAACTGAATTCTAAGTTCCTGCCTATTTAAAGCAAAGCAAATCAATTCTACAGCACTAGAAGGTGTAACTGCCCTAGTACCTATGTGTTCATTTTTAGAATTGGGAAACAAATTAATATATTCTTAGCAGAAGACTTGAGAGGGTGGCTTTGACCCACTTGGGTTCAAAAGGGATACTAACAATGCACTACTTTAGAATAAGGCAAAATATAACTTAGAGAAATAACTGGAAATTATCAACCTCTATTAAATGTTTTATTATTAAATGACATCCCTATAACTTATTTAAGGACAGTCCTTACTGGAGTTTACTTTGAGCAAAACATATACAATAACTTGTTTACAGAGAAAAATTGACTATTACTAGATGGTTTTTGAAGGTGCTGAGACATTAAATCCTGAAAAAAATTCCTAATTGAGTATGCCACTCCACCTAGTGACAGCTCCATAAATTACAGTTATTATGCTTAAAAAGAATTCCCATGGATATTGCCATTCAGTTTTAAGTGAAACTTTTTTGGGGAGTTTATGTGCCAAGAATTTTTCCTGTAAAAATAAAATCTAACTCCAATCATGTAAGCACTTACCTCTTGGTAGATTTTTTCATTGAATTTCCAGGAGAATTAGAAGTAATTTATGATGCTTGAGATTCTGAAACTTCACAGATTATTCACATTATCAGACACTATCAACTCAATAAAATTTTTCTCATTCAAAACAAATGTGAAGACAAACCTTTTCTCCTATTTAATATACATATATTTTATATTTTATAAAAGTGTGCAACACAGAAAGCAATGCTTGTGACCATTTTTAAAAAATCTTAACCTTCTATACTCTCTACAAGTAGATTTGGGAGTGCTTTTATTATGCAAATCCTTGTGTGTTAGATTTATGAACATAAAAACCAAAAAGTGGGTTTTATATTCCCAGCTCTATCCCTTGATCCTGTGACCAAGATACTGTTTGACAACTTGATTTATTATAGGTGTAATTCAACACTTGACAGATGCCAGAACCATCTGTAAACCAGGTTTGACTTTTTTCTCTTTTACATTAGGAAACCACTGTGGGGTCATAGATGTAGCATGAGAGATTTTTCCAGTCCTGGCCCAATCATGTGTTTCCCACGCTCACTTGACAGTGGTGTGTTGCTGTGCTTGTCTGACCTGCAGCAAAGAAAGGAAATGATCCAAGGACGCAGAACCAAAAACGGCATTGTGGTGGTTCGTTTTGCATGAAGATGTGGCTGGAGATGATAGGTAATAGTTAGACCAGAGGATTAGAGACTCAAGAACTACAAGGTAAGAAACCTGGGAGCAAGAAGCTGTAGGAAAGAAATGAGTATCTAATGGGCCACATGTGAGGGTTTTGTGTCCTGTGTGAAAACTCATCAAAAGGCCTCTCTCCAGTTGTCGTATCTTGTTGATAGTTTTCTCCTGCCCTTATATACACGATGGGCTTTCTTTTTTCTCTAAGAATCTAATCCTGTTTCCCATCTTTATATAAATTCCTCCACATTTACTCATCACTAGCATCTTTTTTTTGCTAGAATCACTTAAGGATTTAATCCATAAAAATATGGTAAGAGCTGTTTCATGCACATAAACATGTAGATTCTGATATAAGAACACCCCCGTGTCCATCCCTCAGCTTGAGAAATGTTGCAAATATGTCACTGAAGTGCTCCCTGTGCATTCCTTCCTGATCTCAGTGACGTCCCTCCTCTCTCCCCTTGAGTGTTTAAAGGATAAGGACAGGCAGAAAAGTAGATGAACTGGATCCTCTTGTTATATAAGGCAATTTCAGTCAAGTCTGAGAATTCAAAACAGAGATACTGATAGAAAAGTGATTGAAAGCCCACGAACATGTAGCACAGGGCACAGATGCACTTCCTCGGTCCCACCGGGAGGATATTCTGCCACTTTGCCAAAAGGTGACCACAACCCCTTGAGGATGGTGTCAGTGATTTTGATTGTAGCATGTGAAAAAGACAGCGTGAAAAGGCGACATCACCTGCGAAGGGACACAACTCTTAATACTTTAAAATCAGAGTTTTCTCCCCTTCCACACCAAACTTTCACCTACTATTTTAGATTCATCAACGCTTTTCCCCAGCTGGCGACTAGAACATGTTATTTCATGAATGCAGTTTGCAATGACAAAGGATAAACTCTGAAGTGGCTAAGTTCTTTCTCAGCTTCTGGTGAATCTCAAATTACTATCATCAATATTGCCCCTAAGCCATGGATACAGTTAATACACTACCTCAACAGTTTTATCTAGAGCTAATGTCAAATGTTTTCTCTGAATCAACTCACCATATAACATTAAAACATCTGTAGCAAAAGACTTTTAAAAGTGATGTAGACGTTGAAATGGATGAGAGCTTTGATGTAAGATTAAAAAAAAATTAATTCAGAAGTGAATTTTTGTGTCAAAAGTAAGAATTTTGAGCCCACACTGCATAATTAGCTTGCAATAGTAAATATGCCAAATATACTAAGGATGTAAATACACACATTCTCAGCAGAGTATATAACATATCAAAAAATAGTATACCATTTATTAGGATAAAAAGAAATTTGTACAAAACATAGGCTTAATTAAAAAAAACTCATGCTACAAGTGTTAATTTGGTTTACAAACTTTTATATAGTCCAAATATGAACATTTTAACAAGCACTTACATTATTGTTTGAGTGAAATAACACATTTCTGCCAACACAGAAACAAATAAATTTAGTCTCCACCTTTTCAAGCTTAAGTAAAAAACAAATATTTAACATACATAAGGCTAGCCTTCCCAACTTTAGTATATATAAATAAAAATGACGTTTAAAAAAAAAAAGTTCTACAAGAGTGAAAAATTATATCAACCTTAAAAACATTTTGGATTTTGGTCAACTCCTAGTCACAGTCACAAAAAACTACTGAATACAAATGGCCAGTGACAGTTAAATTTATGTTTCAACTATAAAGAATTAAACTGAAATGCATTTCACTCTTTCATCTTAGAATGAAACATTATCCTCTCAGAAATAACAGCTCTGTACAGTAGTCTAGCTCCTGAATGAAAATAATGAGCTGAGTTATAATTAAAGGCTGAGAAACCTCTGAAAATTAGCCATACATCAAAGTACTTACATAAGCCCAAATCTTTATCTTAAGAAGTAACACAGGTATCTCCTTTGGAAAGAACACTAAAAATAAATCTTGTAGTCACAACTAGACAAAGCTTTCATTCAGAAATGTTTCTTAAATATCAAATTTCTCTTCACAGACACTATGTCCATTTTCTTCATAATCTTCTCTTGTCACCACCATATCTTCAAAATCATCATTCTCGGATATCAATTTTCCACCTTCCCAAGCATAAGTAATCGGGCTAAAAATAAAGGTAAAATAAATGCAGACGGTTTTATAGAAGCAAAATTCTAGAAGAACAAATTAGGAACTAAACTATTGACAATCTCAATTAAACTTAGTTTAACAAGAAATCATTTAAAGAATGAAATAAGCATAAGCATCATAGGTGTAAAACAAACTCAGAAAAGTAACCTTACTACAATTAAATGTTTATTTTTTTCCCAGTGCCCTAAATTGATGGCTCCTCTTTATCTACTAAAAAATAAGAATATAAATAAAGGATCAAAAATGCCCAAAAGAATAAAAAATAACTGAGTCTAAATTCTGTATGTGACAAGGATAGGAATCCCATCAGTTCGCACAGAAAACCAATAAGTAACTATTTTACAGATTTGGAAAGTGAGGTCAGGTTGAGTCTACCTTTTGAGAAAAAGAAACAGTAGATGTACAATAAAAATTCATTAACTGAAGGAATCGAGACTATTTCTGTGGGTCCCCTGGCCTGCAAAGTGTCCATGATTTGCATTTTATTAAATACAGAAAAAAAATCTAATGCTATATATGCTAAAGGGTACATAAACATTAATGCTCATAAAAATCATTCCCACGACTAATAGTGGTTTATTCTTTTATGATCATGAAAGTGGTTGGATTAAAAAGTCTTCTATTTCATAACTACTGATTTTGAAGAATTCTATGTTAGTTTTAAATTAAAGCTAGAATTAAGAGTCAGGCATGTGGCATCTTGTTTTCAACTCTGCCTCTAAAGACTGGGAAATGGAGTGTTTCTTGTATGTATACTTGTTACGAGCTGCTAACACAAGGGAAAAACTGGATTTTAGTCTGGTCACTGCTATTATGCACTGTAAGGCCTCTGCCAAGTCATGAAGTTTTGCTTTTTAATTTACAAAGTAAAAAATACTAAACAGAATGATCTGTAAGCCTTCCTTACAGCTTTAATTTTTAGAACTAAATGAAATGATACCTGCTTTTCCTCTTAAAACAGGATAGAAGGTAGCCATGAGTTTTCGATATATTAAAAAAAAAGTACAGCTTAATGGTTTAATTCTTCAATATCTTAATGTGAAACTGTGAAGTAATGATGTATCTCAGATAAAGAAAGTATAACCTGGTTACTTCAACTATAAATATGTCTTAGGAATAAGGAGTGACTAACTATAGGGAAGTGATCATATATATTAACGAACACCCATTATGTGCCAACCATTATGTCTGGCACTGTACACACTTCATCTCCATTTAATTCATTGTATTGGAAGGTTTATCATTTTAATTTTTGAGCAAAGGAAAATGACTCTTCAACAGGAGAAATACACCACCCACAGCAGTGGAACTTGCTTTGAACCAGCACTAGACCACTTTATAAATGACTTCCATGATGTATTTCTAGATAAGCCAACACTTACTTTTCAGGCAGCACAACAGAAACCTCATAATCTGTTGGAGTGAGACATCGAACTTCTGAATAAACCCGATCCCTAAATCCTGGGAAAAGGGAATTTCCTCCTGTCAAAACGATGTTCTTAAAAAAATGTGGCTGCATTTCTTTAAAAGAAAAAAAAAAGGAGAAAAGAGAGAAGAAGGCATTAGAAAATCTTATCTTTCTGGGAAGATGGGAGTGAGCGCTTACATGCAAGCAATTAGGGATCACAGTTACCATTTGAAAAACCATATAAGATTGTTTTTATAATCAAATAAGTTGTAATTTATAAGATAATATAATGAGATTATATACAAGTAAAAACAGTCAAGCACACTTTCAAAGAAAGGCTAAGATGAAAGGGTGGACTAGACATTTGACTATAGAATTGAGGCTACGAGAGGTGAAAGGGAAGGGTAGAGAGAAAGTGTAAAGGGGACCCAACAAACCATGACGGAGCACTGTGGGTGCGGTGTGGTCATAGCAAAAGGGGTGTGATCCTATACTCTGATTCATATTCAGTGTTGTAAACCAATGTTACCTCAATAAGAAAATAATTAAATATTTGAAAGATGGAAGAGTTGCACTATTGGATACTTCCTATATACATGCAAGCTATACATGATAACCAAGTTAACATTCTAGTACCAGATGTTTAATAATTATAATTATCCTACTTAAAATGGAGGGGTTCTTACTGTAGAGCTTGAGATTGTCAGTAAGTGTAAGGAAGAAAGCAGGTCCTTTGTGACATTTTAGCTTGGAAGTCCAAATGTTCACATTATCCAGTGAGACATTTCTTGCTAGTACTGACATGTGACGTGAAAACGACATAACAGTCAATAATGTTGAAATAAACAAGCTTATGTTCTACCTCATTTTTTAAAGATTTATTTATGCATACAAAAATTAGGGTAGAGGCCAGAGGTGCAGAGGTGAGAGGATTCAGAGACAGAGTGGGGAACAGAACAGGCAGATCTACCAAAATACACTGCTGAGGAGAGCAGCAGGTCAGATGAGAGGTCTGCCACACCATGTGGGTCACCACCCAGCCAGGGATCGAACTCATGCTGCAGTAGCTGCGAGTAGATTCATAGTGCTGCAATTTAATCCACTGCACCATTAAGGAGTGCCCTGTTCTACTTCATTAAAGTTACATGATGGAAAACAATAGTGCCATAAGGTTAGCCAGTATTAAAAGCCTAGGAACCACAGGGAAAGCTAGCTAATAGGTCCTAGCCATCCTAGCTAATTGCTTCTGTTCACAAAATAGGAGTTCCTTTCTATTGACATTGAGTCTCATGGCACATTAAAACAGTGTAGAACAAAATGTTATATAACTCATGACAACAAACTTGTGTAAAAAAATTAGTTTTGAAATATTAATATGAAAGTACTTAAGAATTCAGGTGATGACATTATGTGGTTTTCTTTTAAAAGATTTATTATTTATTTTTCATTCTTTTATTTTTTTAAACGTAGGACAAGACACTGCATGTACTGTAAGATACACTGCATGTACTAGATTTTCTCCAAAGGCTGTTCCTTATGAACTAAGAAATAAGATGTAATGATGTAAGTTTCAGAGCATTAAAGATTCAGGAGAACCTAGATTCACTATAAAACACCTTACTTCAATTCAATTGAAATAACTTCCTAGATATCCAATTATAACAAATCCAATTATAACAAAAAAAATTATAACAAAATCCAATTATAACAAAAAAAAGTAAACAATCCCATCAACAAAAATAATTACACAGTTAAACAATAAATTCCTGGTGCTCCCCTGGTGGCATGAGGGTTAGGTTTTAGCAGTATTATGCTATCACTAAGGTCAGGCCTGAGCTGACCCACATGGTGCAGCAGACCTCTCCTGACCCGCCCACTGCTCCCCTCAGCTGTGTACTTTGTGGATCTGCCTGTTCTGCTCCCTACTCTGTCTCTGGTCAATCCTCTCACCCCTCTGCACCTCTGGCCTGTACCCCAGGTCTTGTATGCATAAATTTTAAAAAGTAAATCTTTAAATTAATTATAAGTTCCTATTCTGAGTTAAATAAAACTTCTGAAATGTATATGGCAATTTTAATACTCGTGGAGGGAGGGGTGAGTTTCTTGAAACTTAAACAGGTCATAATGACTTTTCCTATATAAAGTTTATAAGATTAAAGCACATCGTGGGACCTGCTAATCTCTGCAAATATAACAGACTTGCCATTTGCTGAAATAATTTAAAAGGAACAAATGAGTTCTCTAGGGTTTATAGAGAAGTCTTACAGTTTTTGAAAAAATATCATTACTCTTCAGTTTTATTTTATTTATTTTTTATATTATTTATTTTTGTTGAACTTACCTTCAGGTAAATTCTGAATTGAATAGACAATAGCTTCTGGAATTCCCATTTCTTGAATGCCTATATCAGAAGGATTAAAAAGTATTTCTGGAACAGCAAATCGCTCATTGGCCAGACGAAGAATCTGTTCCCCAGATTTATATTTTCCACTTAACACCATCTCTTCCCTTGGCTTAAAGAAAAACATGATAAAAATTTAAGCTACACTATCAAGCTCAAATAGTAATTAGTAATACATAATACTAATCTATTAATCATGTCCTTGGAAGTTTCAATAATCTCAAAAAATAAACTAATATGACAGTCCCTCTTTTATGTGGCATAAACCACAAAAATTAATGATAACTGGTTCTAACAGTTACTCGCCCCCAAAATGACAGCTTATTCCACAAATTTCTTTCTTAATATTTACTTATTCATACAGAACTGGGGTACAAGTCAGAGGTGCAGGGCCAGTAAGAGGCTTCACCAGAGACAGAACCGGGAGCAGAACAGGCAGATCGAGGAAGTACACTGCTGAGGGGAGCAGCGGGCCGGTCAGGAGAGGTCTGCCACGCCATGTGGAGCCTGGGAGTTGGGGCCAGGGATGGAACTCGCACTGAAGGGGTAGCTGCTGCTAGCTTGCAGTGCTGTGTTCTAACCCATGCCCCACCAGGGAGGGCCCTACACACATTTTAAAACAGAAAGAAAACAGAGGAATCTGACTTTATCCTGTGCCTGTCACAGCAGATGATTCTGGTTTCTAGCGAATAAAGAGCATACTTTAAGCAAAAAGCATTTATGTCAGAAAATGTTTCACTGTCTGTATCCACTCTCATCTTAGCTATTTAATGGACACCAGGGTGCTATTATTAAGGTAATCCTTTTCCCTTTCATATCTTCAAATTTCAATCCCTATCAAAAATCAGTTCCCGGCCCTCCCTGGTGGAGCACGGGTGAAAGCGCAGCACTGCAAGTGAGCCACAGATGCCTCAGTGCCCGTTCAATCCCGGGCACCGGAGGTGACCACATGGCCAGCAGACCTCTCCAGTCTCCCTGCTGCTCCCCTCAGCAGTGTACTTCATGGATCTGCCTGTTCTGCTCCCCACTGTTTCTGGTGAATCCTCTCACTGCCCCTGCACCTCTCGCCTGTACTCCAGTTCTGTATGCATAAATAGTCTTTTTTTAAAAAGTTCTTAGAAAAAATCATTCTAAGCATAATATTGAATAAATAAAAAAATATTCTAAGCATAATATTCCAATACTCTAAAAATAAGGAGAACTATGAATCACTTTAACATAATTAAATTCATAGTAATAATCAGAAATATATTATTCCTTCATAAACATTATTCTTCATAACAGAATGGAAATTATATCCTGTGAATCTGCATATTCATTTAGAAAGTGATTTGACTTGAGTTAAAGGATAAAACTATTTTTGTCAATACTTAAAATAACCTGAGTCAGATGTAGACATGGAAAATTTCAGTAGACTTTTCTGTCTAGTTCATAGGCCTGATTTTACAGAAGACAATCATGTGTGACTTACCCAGGTTCAAATATCTAACTAGGAAAAGAGTCAGGACTAAGTACCTTTGTTTAATGTTAGCTCTCATCATTAATCATTGATATGTAACTTGGAACTACAAGTTGTCTCTGAATCTGGAACTACAAGTAGTTCCTGTTTCTAATACAATTCAAAAAGATTTTAGCTACAAACAAATGAAATAATTTATAAGGGCGACTAGCAGTTGCTATTTTAGTGAATATAAACCATGGTTACCACACAGATCCTATAACTTGCAAAAATACTGCAGACATTGTTATTACTACCATCATCAGTGCTAAAAAATGAAACAGTTTTTCCCCAAATATTTGAAAATATTATTGAATAAATTATCAAAAACCAAGTTTTAATATCTTAAGTTTAAAGTCTCTCAAATATAGTTCTTTTTCACTTTACATAGTATTATCACTTTTCTAATTTCATAAACATTTATCAACTCTGAAAGTTGTTGCATGTATATCTGATAACAATGAAAAGTTAATCAAGTATTAAATTCAATACATTTCAGGATTAATTCTAATATACATATATAAACAGTTTCTAAATCTTAATAGTTATTAAGCTACAAGTATTTAACATGTGGGAAAGTATAAGGTTTTTTTTTTTAAATTTATTTATTTGTGCATACAGAAGTGGGGTACAGGCCAGAGACTCAGGGGTGGCGAAAGACTTCACCAGAGACACAGTGGGGAGCAGAACAGGCAGATCGACTAAGTACACTGCTGAGGGGAGCAGCGGGCGGGCCAGGAGAGGTCTGCCACACCATGTGGTCACCTCTGGGGCAGGTGGGAATCGAACTCATGCGGAAGTGGTTTCAACTTCTTAGTGCAGTGCTTTAACCCACTGCGCCACCAGGGAGGGCCGAAAGTATAAGGTTTTTAACATTAATTGACAAAGTAAAGATTATACCATTAGCTCGGAAATAAACACTAGATAAACTATTCCAACACCTGGCAAAAGTTCAGTCTCAGTCGATATAGTAAAGTACACAAGTAACAAGGTGACTATATTGAATTCATAACCAGATTCTGCTTACAAAGTCAATGGCCAGTAAAAGAACTGCAAACTTTAGGCAGCTTATGATTACTTTTTTTTTTCTCTTCAAAGGTGATGAGTGAAACAATGGTCTGGTGGGGGAACAATCACACCTGTATTGGCTCATGGTATAAGGTGAAGGTTTGAGAAAATGTGGCTTATGAAAGGGAAGGAAGAAACCGGCTGAATTTAGCAGATACTGTCAAATAAGCAGATAGGCTGTCAGATGCAGGGCAGGGAAGAACTAACTATGTGTTTAAAAAAGAAAAAGATTCTCAAACCTAGCTGACATAGTTAAATCATTTAAAAGAGATTTTTTTTCTCCTTAAGATTTATGTTTAAAGTCTTCAAATAATCCTAATTACTATTTTATTTTGGCATTCAAGATAAAGTTCTTGGCACATTGGATTTTGCCCTTTTCAGCTTTATTAGGACAAATATGAATAAAATTCAACCCTTGGTCAACTATGTCAATCCTAGTTCAAATCAGGCAAATAACCAATTCACACTGTATTTAAAGTAATTCTTAAGTAAACAGATAAAAGCAACCATGATATTAAGTAAGGACACTGTTTATCTCCAGATTGAGGATTTTTAAATTACCTTACAAAAGCCTTTTTTAATTGTACTGAAGTCAGGTAAAACATAGTCTATCATGACTGTGTTTTCTTCTCCTTTCAACCTGGGAAACAAAAGAGACTTATGAAATATTTTAACTTTGTAGGATTACCTAAGGACTGACTTCCCAACTCTTAGATTACCATCATACGTACTTTGCAATATCCATGTCTCTGTAAAAATCCTGAGACACATAACATACATCTTCTTTCACCTGATTAATCACATGTGTTTCATCCATGACATGTAGCTGCCTACACAAATAAAAATTATAAAATTTGTAATGAAAAGTGAAAATATTTTTGCAGAGATTTTCACATAACTGATTTTTGTAGTATTAAATTCTTGAGTATAAAATATTTTTCATTTTATACTCATTTCCATATCTTACTTAAGGACTGCTTCAATTTGCAAAGAATTAAAAACCTTAAGTGGTAAGCTTTTTCTAATTAACATGATGCCATAGTTTATTTGAGACACTGAATGAAATATTGCTAAAGGTCTTAACTACTTGTACTTTGTTTTGTACTTTCTTTCCAATTATATAGAAGGATTATGAATCAGCACAGAGCACCTAGCATATGGTATGCTTAATACTTGATGTGAGTCACAGAAAACATGGACTTAATGCATAATATAAAGATGCTTAAAAAACAAGCAAAAATATGAGACTGTTTACTTTGAATATTTTTCTCCACATATTTACATTTTTTGGTTTAAACTAAACATCTCATGAACATTTTCTTATGCTATTGCATAGTCCTTAAAAATATGATTTTTTTTACTCCCTTATAATATTCAGTTGAAGGAATCTAATAAAATGGATTTATCAATGTTCTTAATATTGGAAGTTTAGGTCAAGGAAGAAAGGTACTTGAGCATTTATAAACATGGACTTTGGAGTCAGATTAGGTTTAACTACAACTTATCATTCAAGTTACTTTATTTCTTTGGAATTCAACCTCTTCAACCTTTGTAAGGTAATAAAATCACCTACTTAACAGAGCTCTAAAAAGTAAATAACTGTGATCACATATTGTAAAGTGTTTAGATAGTCCCTATGGTCAAAAAAAATTCTTCACTTTATGCTTTCTGCTTTTGCAATAACATTTACGTATACACCATATTTCACCATCTCGAAGGATTACTATTGTACAAACGATAAGATAATATGCTAATTCAAGCATGATAATTGGAAGGTGCCAACCAAATGGAGGGGTCATCCCAGTTTCAGAGGTTGCAATGTGAATCAGAATCAATGAAAGATAGGTATTCTGATCTATATCTGACTGCCTCATTATTTATTCATGTTCTAGGACACAGAATAAGAAATACTTTTAGTCCCTTGTAATACTGCCAAATTGTTTACCAGAAAAGTAATTTCAAGTTACACTTTGATTGGTAGCAAGTAAGAGTGCCCAAATCATCTTTTGATAATAATTCTATTACTTTGGGTTGTAAAAATGGTAATTTAATAGCATTTGTTCTACTAGGAAGTACTATGAGGAAGTACTATGAGGAATTACCATCTGTTTTGTTAACTAATTCATCCATGCCAAGCTCCCAAATAAACATTCAGTAAATACATACTAAATTAAATCTGTGATTACTGTGGCATTTAACATTTTTCCCTGTCTAAGAATTACCCATTTATATCCTTTATCTGTAAGTAACTTTAAGAGCTCTTATTATATTTAAGATAAATCTGTATCCTACTTGTTTCAGGTTTATTTTGCAGATTTATGTTTAAGTTTTGTTTGCAACAGCTTTTGATGTACATAAAGTTTTAAAATTTAACAAGTTTCAACACAAAAGCTGGTGAAATCTACCCTGTTTGAATTCACTGGTCTCCCAGGCTAGAAGGAAACAGAAGGGTGGATTAAGATGTAGTAATATTTCTCTTGAACTTTTGATTTCTTGGGTGTGTTCACTTTTTGAAAACTCAGTTTTGTAATCATGGTTTGTATATTTTTCTGTATGTATGTTTCACTTCAATGTCAAGTTTATACCCCCTACTCCAATAAGAACTGGGGTATAGGCCAGAGACGGGGGAGGTGAGAGGATTCACCAGAGAAATAATGGGAAGCAGAACAGGAGGATTTACTGCTAAGGGGAACAACAGGTGAGACAGGAGAGGTCTGCTGTGTCATATGTGGGTCAGCTCCCTGGCAGGGATCCAACTCAGGCTGTAGCAGTGATAGCACTAAGACTTAATCCTGAGGCCCTTAAAGTTTATTTATTTATGTTTTAAAGTTGTATATAGGAAAAGTATTTTTTATTTTTTCTATTATAGTGTTATTTTTCTATAAATATATTTCTGTTTTTATGCTTTCCAATTTAAATATTTTATTACAGTTTTCCATTTAAGTCTTAAATCCATTTGAATTTTGCCTTAATGCATGATGCAAAATTTTTTGAAAATTTCCCCAAACTTTATCCTTTCATGTATACTTAATCTCCTGGTTTTTTTTTTTTTAATTTTGTTTTTGCATAGAAGAACTGAAGTATAGGCCAGAGGTGGGGGGTGTAGGGCATGGGTGAAGGATTCACCAGAGACAAGTGAGGAGTAGAACAGGTGATTATACTGAACTACACTGCTAATTGGAGCAGTGGGAGAGACAGGAAAATGCCTGCTGTGCCATCTGGGTCACCTCCTTTGCTGGGGTCAACTCATACTGCAGTGGCTACGGATAGCTTCAAAGTGCTGAGGATAACCCACTGCACTGCAAGGGAAACCCACATGATGCTATTTTTAAAGCAGTAATTTAAAATTGCACAACTGAAGTTACAAATAAAAGTTAAAAATAGGGCCCTCCTTGGTAGTGCAAGATCTAAAGTTTCAGCATTTTTGAAGCTGTCACCAGCCATTGTAGCATAAGTTCAATCCCCAGCCAGGAAGCAATCCACATGGCACAGACTTCTCCTGGCCTGCCCACTACACCCCTTAGCAGTCTATTTCAGTAAATCTCCCTGTTCTTGCTTCCCATTCTGACTCTTGGTGAATCCTCTCACCTCCCACAACTCTGACCTACACTCCAGTTCTTGCATGCACAAATAAATCTTTTTTAAAAAGTTAAAAATAAGTTACTTTACATTAAAAAGTTCATTGCAAGCACCCCATCCTCCCAAAGAATCCAAATTAAGTATTACCTGTACGATATGATCTCCTTTAGATGATTAGTTAGGAGTTTTCCTCCCACATTTATCCTAAAAAGAAAATTCAAACTTGATGCAGTTATCATTCATTTCACAGTTTTATCCCAAGAAACATCATGAAAATTAAATGCAACTCACCGAATAATTGCTTCCTTTTTCTTTTTACTTCTACAATAAGGAACTATATGTGTAAAGGAGTATCCACTATCTACAATGATACAGCATAATTCGGAAGGATTATCTCGGAAATACCTATGTGCACTGAGAGCCCCAGCTATTTGAAAAAAAGAAAGAAAAAAAAATCCATTACATGAAAGTATAGTTAATGTTTTTGAAAGATGTAGTTATTTATGTTGCAAGAACTGGGTTACAGGCGAGCAGTGTGGGGGTTGAGAGGATTCAACAGAGACAGAGTGGGGAGCAGAACTGGCAGATCTGCTCCTGGATCTAAATCACCACTGCTTGGATAACATTTTCCTTTGTAAGAAGAAATGTTAATTTAAGATAACATAATTCTTTCACAAAGTCTTTGCAGTGTTTAAGTTTTAAAAATCACACTTTTGTGGTGTTTTTAAACTTTGTTATCAGTTTATAAAAGTATTCATTTCATGGCTTATAATAATTATTTTAACATCAGTTAATTTTTCCTGGGATTTATTATTTGCTGGGTACCATTCTAAACTGAGTTTGTATGTTTTAAGCCTCACAAAAATCTTACGTTACAGATGCATAAACTGAGGCACAAAGATTTAAATAGTGTGTGCAAAGTCATGCAACTAGAAAGTAACAGTCTAGGTAGAGGAACTCTAGAGCAAGGTTTCTCATCCTCAAAACTAATGCTTTTGGGGCGAGATAATGCTGGAATTGTAAAATGTTTAGCAGCCTTTTAGGAAGTAGATGCCAATACCAACCAGTTTTGATTGAAATAAAACAACCAGTTAAACAACCAATCATGTGGCCAAACATTGCCTAATGTCTCGCAATGAGCAAAATCATCCTTGCTTCAGAATACTATCTAAAAGATTATGCTGTTAACGATTATACTATATTGCTCATATTGATGTAAATTCTGCAAACTAAATATTTGATTACTTTCACTCTTGAGTCATGTAATTCTAACCTTTAATAAACTTGTCTTTGGATGATGTTTACAATTTTCCCTCATATCGGCAGCCTGAGCTATTAACATTATTTCAATCAATAATAATAATAATAGCAAACACATCAGCAATAGAAAAGATGACTCAGGAATGATCATATTTCAATGACTAGAAATATTAGGAAAAAGTATATTAATAAAAATATGAGGTAAAAGATCTGCCTACATAATCTCCAAAGGCCCACTTGGTTTTTAAATTCCTTATTTTATTTCCTCCAAATCTAAAAGAATGTCAATATTCTGGGATTTTATATGTTTATGTACTAGCCTATTTATACATATTCACATATTCAATTTCAATCAAAATTTTAGCTCACCATTTACTCGTAATACTGCTTGAAACTGGTATTCTTCAAATAGTATTTCATTCATTGATTCTTGAATTGAAGTAAAGTTAAAATAGGGTTCTGTGATAATAATGTTAGTATCTAAAAAATCAACCTAGGAGGAAAAAAATCCAAATAGTTCATACCTTTGTAGTTATAAAAAATGTTTTAATTATACAAACAAATTTACTTAGTCCTTAAAATAATCCTAGGGTACAGGTATTAGTGACATAGTTAGGATTTAAAACCAGAGAGTTTACAAAAATCAATGTACTTTAAGTACATTAAGGGTTATTAACCCTTGAAATGGCAGCATTTAGAAAATAGTACTCTCAAATCATTTAAAGGTAATTATGCATGATATAACTACAAGTATAGGTACTGTTATTTTTGCATTTAAAAGTTAAAAGGTGAGAAGTTTAGGAGTAAGGAATGTTGACACAATTCTTTCCTATAACTTGTTAAGCATTAAATATTGAACTTTCCTTACTATATATAGTCACATTATAGACTTTAAAGCATAAAATTTTCATGTTGTAAGAAGTCACATATTCATACGTAGGTAAAATACTTATTGTGAAAATAAAAATGAGTGAGTCCAATGATAATAGAAATCTGAAGAAATTTTAATCTTAAATTTCATACAAGCTCTTCTCAATCTGAAATTACATTTCAAAATTATATTCATTAGCATTTATTTATTATTTAGAAAGTCAAAGCTAGGAACATTATGTCAAGTGAACTAAAATACTAGAAACATTTTAAAGTTTATAAATCTTAAAGTATAAATTCTAATTTTTTATATGAATAAGACATGGAAATAGAAATTTAATACATACTCCAATTTGTTACCTGATACATTTCTTTTCCAAAGAGATAATCCCAAACTTGTCTTTGAACATCCCAATTCACCAAGTAGCCCTAAAAATTTTTTACAGATTTTAATTATCAGAATATTTGAACAATTTATTTAAAAATCAGATTAATATATTTTAAATTACTGATTTCTCTCTAATGAGGTTACTTTTACCAGGCTAAAGCTGTTTCTACCTCAAATCAATTATATTGATGTTTTTGTCCTTTTAAAAGTTAAAAAAAATTACAAATTAAAGTAACCAAAATGAAAAGAGCTGAAAAGACAAACCAATATGTAGAGATGCCTCTCCATACTTTTCTTTAATGTGTTCACTACATTTAGTTTTAACATAAATCAGATTCTGTACTGATAATCAGTAATGAAATCATGACTGTTTATTTTTTAAGATTTATTTATGCATACGAGAACAGAAATGGGGGGTATTGAGAGGATTCACTAAAGACAAAGTAGGGAACAGAACAGGTAGATCTACTGTAATACACTGCTGAGGAGAGCAGCAGGGGAATCAGCTGCAGTCTGTCTGCTATACCATGTGGGTCAGCTCCCAGGCCAGGGATTGAACTTGTGCTGCAGTGGCTGCAGATAGCTTCACAGTGCTGACACTTAATCCCTTGTGCCACCATGGAGGCCCCATGATTGTTTATTTTTAACAGAACAACTTAATTTCAATTTTCCATTTTAATAAGATTTTTATTTAGAATTCAAACATCTAAAAATACTTTCATCTAAAAATACTTTCATATATGAGCTTACATATACATTTTTAAATAATCTGTAATGCTTGAAATGGCATACTGCATTACCTTCTGAAAAGGAAGAATATAAAAAAGTCCAGATGGGTCTTTTATTTCATCTATCTGGTTAGCAGTAAAAGTTTTAAGACGTGCCGTTTTTGACCTAAACTGACAGTTAGGAATAACCCTATAAAAAAGAAAAACAAATAATTATTCTTTAAATACTTAGTTTTTTTTTTTAAAGATTTATTTATTCATACAGAATTGGGGTACAGGCCAGAGATGCGGAGGGTGAGAGGCTTCACCAGAGACAGAGTGGGGAGCAGAACAGGCAGATCAACGAAGTACACTGCTGAGGGGAGCAGTGGGCGGGTCAGGAGAGGTCTGCCTCGCCATGTGGATCTCCTCGGGGCAGACAGGAATCGAACTCATGCGGAAGTGGCTTAAGCTTCTCAGTGCTGTGCTTCAACCCGCTGCGCCACCAGGGAGGGCCTAAATACTTAGTTTTTAACAATATATTTATTGATAAAGATTGATTGATTTATGAATACAAGAGCTGGGGTATAAGCTCTTGGGGTATAAGCTCTTGGGGTATAAGCTCAGAGGTGGGGGGTGGAGGTGAGAGGATTCCCAGAGACAGAGTGGGAAGCAGAACAGGATCTACTGAAATACACTGTTCATGGTGAGCAGCAGGCAAGACAGGAGAGGTCTGCTGCACCCTGTGGGTCAGCTCCCTGGCCTGGGATGGAACTTGTGCTCCAGTGGCTGCAGTGGCTGCAGGTAGCTTCATAGTGTTAACACTTAATCGCTAGACCACTTAAAAAAGCCTTTTTTTTTTTTTAAGTTTCCAGTATGTAACAGGTTTTATAATAAACCTTTTATCTTTCCCAAGTAATCTTCAAAAACCCTTAAAGGTATAGGTTTTTGTTTTGCTACCACATCAAATCTGTAAATAGAGCACTTTGTCTTCTTACCACGCACATCTAATTTACTCCAGACCCTTGCTGCGTCAAAGGATAAGAACAATGAAACACCACTGTTTTCCAGAAGGCAGTAACAACTCAAATACCCAAGTAGGTTGTTTGTCCTCGCTTAAAAAGAAGAGAAGGGGGAAGGGGTGTGTGTGGAAATCCTCTGATTATGCCAGAAGAAATGCATGACTTTAAATCTGATTATTCGAACATACATATTCACGAATATACACTTAGTGCATGCCACTGTGGTATGTCTGCTTAACTATCAACCAGGTGAGCAAACAGCACTTCAAAGGGCTTAGCTAAAAAGCCTTTAAAGCTTCCAGTCACTAAGCCTGGCTTCGACACTTTTTTGGATCATGAAGTCCTTTGAGGATCTGGTGGTACTGCAGTCACGTCACCACGGAAAAGCAGCCCTGCATCCCCGATTATCGAGACCTTAGCGCCAAGGACCCGTCAAACACCGCTTCTGCGGAAGACTATTTTCTAGCGCAATTTCCTGTTATGAAGCGAAATACACGTCCTACTTCCGGGCCGCGTAGCAGAAAATTAACTCCGACACCGCGATCCAACGCGCCGGCTCCGAAACGAGCATCCCGCCCCCTCCCCCACCGCCCCCAAGGGGGGACGCGCGGGGGCGTCGAGCGTCCCCGGATATCCTGATCTGAAGCGCCTCTCGTTAAACTACAAGCGTATGTGGAGATCGAGGCCTGCGGAGGACGCGAATACTTACGAAACATTCTCATGGCTGTAACCGATCTTGGCGTTGTAGGCGCCGTTGTCCAACACAAGAGTTGTCATTTCAGCGGGAGCCACGCCGCCGTCGCGCTCCCTGCCACCCCCCTTCTGCTCACGCTTTTTCCGGCGCTCTATGGTCTTCCAGGGTAGAGCGTTTGGGCGCGTTTCCGGTGTCCCTTAGCAACGGAGGACGCCGGAAGCCAGAGCCTGCGTGAGCTCCGACTCGTCCCCGGGAGTCCCTTAGAGCTTCCCAGCCTGACTCGTTAAATTGTGATGGGATCCTGTGCTCGCATCGGCAGCACATACACTAAATTGTGATGGATGCAGCCGTTAAGTGCTTTTTCGCCCACTGTGTATTTGTCCTTTACTTCACAAGTTAACTGCACGTTTTTTCCAAACCCAAAGGCGAACCAGCTGGTGGTGTGTTCAATAGTCTTTTTCAGACGATGACGTTTTCTAAAGAATAAAGTACGAAACCGTAGATACAGCAAGGAATTGGATGAAGTCTCTCCCCTGCGTGCCAATAGTAGGAATCAAACACCCTGAATTGTATGACCTTTCCACGTGCGCTTATATTCTCCCCGTTTGCTTTTTTGACAGACCGGATACTTTTTCTCATCTTAAAGTCTTCTTGACATCTTATACACTCTCTGTGACACTTCTTGAACCAAGGTACTTTTCCTAATTAGTCCTGTAATACCCTGAGCCAATTCCCATATGTCTAAATGGCTTAGAGAATGAATTTTGTATTGGAATCCAGAATCTGCAACTGAATGGCTGTGCACCCTTGGCTGAAGAAAACAATGACTAATAGGAAGCATTTAATGTTTTTGGATTGACAAAAAAAAAAAAGAAAAATTGGGACATCTTGGTTGCGCATGGGTTAAGTCACAGCTCTCTGAAGCAATCACAAGCCACTATTTGTATCCCAGGCAGGGAGCTAACTTATGTGGTGTAGCAGACCTCTCCTGTCTCATCACAGGAGTAAACCACCCTCAGTAGTGGTTTTAGTGGATCCTCCCATCCCACCCCACCTCTGATCTACACCCCAGTTCTTGTATGTACAATATATCTTTTTTTTAAAAGGTATCCAATTGAGTTTAAAGATCTAGTTGACATCACTCCATCTAGGAATTCTATAAAAAGAAAGATTTTTGTAGTCAGAGGATGAGACAAAAAAAAAGATTATTTCTGACATAGCTACTTTTTTAAGGGAAGGCAGTGGAGATCTTAGGGGATCAGCCTGTTGACACTGATGAGAAAATTCGAGATTGATTGACTTAATTCCACACTTAGATGAGGCTGAAACTGCTATTAGGTCACTTGTTAAATTTTAGTGGGGCTTGGTGAAAATTAGTCCATCCGAGGTTTGTTATTCATTTTTTAAACTAGTATTACATTTCTGCAAAATGGGCACGATTGTTGAAGTCCAGGATATAGTGTGGCTAAGAATGCAATGCCTGTACTCACATTCCTGGGAGAAATCTTGTCATTAGATGGCTTAGCCAGGTAAGTCAACTGAACCTTAGTTTAATAAAATGGAATAAAGGTTTGCCTCTTTGCAGAATTGTTTATAAAGAGTAAGTGATAAAAATTATGTGCTTGGCAGTAGTTATCATCATCATCATCATCATCATCATCATCAGTCTCTTACATGATCACTTGTATAGGAAGCACACTAGTCAGGCCCTCTATTCATTGGTATCTATATCCCTTGGTATCAAAATTTCATTGAATATCCAAAGCTAACTAACACCAAGTTTAGTGTGATAAGAACACTCCAGAGCCCTCCCTGGTGGCACAGCGGGTTAAAGCACAGAACTAGGAAGCAGTAAGCCACTTCTGCATGAGTTCGATTCCCACCTGCCCCGGAGGTGACCGCAGGGCGGGGCAGATCTCTCCTGGCCCACCCCCTGCTCCCCTCAGCAGTGTACTTCGACAGTCTGCCTGTTCTGCTCCCCACTCTGTCTCTGATGGCTCTCCCACCCTCCGCATCTCTGGCCTGTACCCCAGTTCTGTATGAATAAATAAATAAATCTTTAAAAAAAAAAAAAGAACACTTACTCCAAATGTAAAGGATATTTTACAAATCTTACATCACACCAGCCATCATTTCTTTTCATCTCTCCTTTTTAAATATCTGCTCTTTAATCCTTGGTGCTCCTCTTGAATAAAAGCTCTTTCTCATTTGAGCTTCTCTTTTTGCTTTCCTTGCTATTTACATGTTGCAAGATCAAGGTCATTTTTATTCTTGGCTTCCATTATTACTAAACACTGATAAATCATATAGCATAATTTCCACTCCCCAACTGTAACCAGGATGTTTATACCCAGATATTACAAGATAACCTTCACAGCAACAAATCCAAAACTGAACCTTATCTCTAAAACTGTTTGCTCAATTATTATCTCAGTTAGAGCTGAATCCCAAGATCCACCCAGTGCCCCAAGCTAGAAACCTCAGTTACCTTCAACTCCTACCCTAAACTTAATTTTTGGACTCTGTTCTTGGCCTTCTTCCATCTTTATTGAAACTACTTTATCTTTTAGCTAAAATAATGCTACTGCCCTTAATGCCCTTTCTTACACCAGTCTCATTTCCTTCTATGCTCTCTATACTGCCAATATAACTATCAGCAAAATGTTTTTCCAAATAAAAAATATGATCATCCTCCCCAAATTGCCTTGCCATAGAAGTCTCCCTTGGCTTGGCATTGCCTATGAAATAATGTCCATTTTACAATGTGTGGTGCAAATGTGTAACAACTAAATGTCCAAGGGGGGGGGGGTGAGTCCTGGTTTGTAGTGCTTCTATTTCCTGTGGAGTAAGTACCACCACAAAAGGCTGATTTCAAGCTATCCTGAATTCACCAAACACAGACTTGGGAACAGGTGCACACAACTATTCTCATGTACCAGTATAAACCAGCATCAGTAAAAACTGTTCAGTAAAATCTGATTCTATTCACCTGCATATCATGCCTTTCCTTCCCATGCTTTTTTAATGACATTTATTTATGCATACAGAACTGAAGTACAGGCCAGAGGTGCAGGGTGGAGGGACAGTGAGAGGATTCACCAGAGACAGAGTGGAGAGCAGAGCCCGCAGACTGACAAGGATCCTGCCTAGGGGAGCAGCAGGCTAGAGACAGGAGAGGTCTGCTGTACCATGTGAGTCACCTTGACTGGGGTTTTAACTAGAGCTGAAGAAGCTGCAGCTAGCTTCTCAGTGTTGCGCCACCAGGGAGGTCCTTCCTTCCCTTGTTTTTAAAGCAAGTAATCTCAAACATGTAAGTACTGCTTTTCCTACACACACATATTTTGCCACTGTATAATTTAAGAGTTCAAAATGTGTGGCTTTGATCTAAATACATAATGAATATATGCAACAAGATTATTGAAATCATGAGTAATCTAGCTTTATATCCCAGCTCGTTGATTCTTGCATTAAGAGTTAACAAATCTTTGATGCATGTTCACGACGTATTTGTACAACAAGCATGTTATACTTTGAAAATCATATTTTTATAATTAAATAATAAAACGCTTGAAACTTTTCATAATTGTTCATGACTTCTGTCATTTTTTCAACAATTATGGTCCACCTACCTGATCCATCCTCCTGTGCATATTGAATAATAACAGTTATTATTTAGTTGTGTGTGGCAGTCTGTTAGTTTAACAGGGTGATCCCCAGGAAAAGGGGAGGTTCCAATACTTGACCTTCATTAGCTTGGTTAATCCACACAACAGCCTCTTGAAAGTAGATGGTACCATATGTTTCCAGAAATTCAATACTTTTCTTATAGTCACATAGTCAAAAATCTAAAGAGTTGCTTTCAAATCCAAGTGTGAATTTAGGATAAGTTATTTAACACACAAAATCAAGTTATTTCATCTTTGAAATAATAACTGTGCTGTAAATCTGTGATGGAATATGAGCCTTAATTATTCCTCATTCCATAGCAATTTCTGTTTTCAGTAATCCTAAAGATAATAATCTCACTTATTAAGGCCTAGTCCTACATTATGATGTTGAGTATTTTACATGCATAATCTTATAAAATTTTGAGGCTGAGGGAGAATAAATAACTTGCCTAAGTTTAATATCCACAATGCTGAGGTAGCATTTGAAATCATTCTAATGACAGAGTTGAAAGGTGATCATGTGTAAAGTGCACACACACACACATCTTCCTGCTATATCCAGAGGCAGTGAATTTTCTTTTACTCTTTCAGACATCACTGGGTGACCATTTTGTTGGGGAAGAATAGGGTTGTAAGTGTGAGGAGCAGCTGTGAAAGAATTCACCAGAGACAGAATGGAGAACAGGACTGGTGGATGTATTGAAACTGATGGATTTATATGCACTGCTAAGAGAAACAACCCTCCAGATAGGAGAGGTCTGCACATAAAGAAGGATTTGGGACTCCCCTTTTACAACCTATTTTTATGGACTTTTCATGACTGGAGGGGCCAGTCCTGGGAATATAGCCCTTATTGACAATTTGATACAGAATGTGTTCTAGCTCTACTTGCGCATTCATGGTCAAAGTGATCAGTCTTTTAAGGCCTGATTCCCATAGCAAATGTATCAATCCTTTATCCAACCCTCCCACACCTTCCTGCTGTCAAGGGGTGAGAGCTCAGTTTTTAACCTTATTAAATGATACTCCAACATTTTTCAGCGGTGAAAACTGTTGGTTTGAAATTGGATGGCATACAGGTGGAGAACAGTAACAGATCTCCCTAAAATCTCAACACCTTTCTTCCTTCTTCAAACAATTTCAAGTGAAATTTACATACTCTTTCTTTAGGTACAATACCCTAGCAAGGTGGGTAAGGCTAATATTATTAGCCTATTTTACAAATGCTCAAATTTAGGTTAAAGATAATTATTTTCTTTCGCTAGAAGATACTAGAATCAGGACTTGAATTTAGGTCTTGTAATTCTCAGTTCCTCCATTCTATTAAGACAAGTTACCAACTCGCATTTCTGTTGAGTTGAATAGTAGGATTTAGCTAGGGGAAAGGAGAATATTTCAGCGAAGGGGAAGAAACTGAGGCAAGAATTTGAGGAAAGCTGCGAAAGTAAAAGAGAGTAAAGCAAGC